TGACTAAAGTCAATACTGAAAGTAAAAACAAAAGTCATGCATTATTGCAAAATTTATTTTTGATTTCTTGTGATTGTTGTCTTTGCCCTCTAAATACCGTTATCTCCACCAATTATAATGCATTTGTCTTCCTTAACGAAACTTGTATCTTCAAAATAGGTTGTTCATATTTTTTCATCATAAGTCAATCTTCAATAGTAAAATATTTAACACACTAAATTAGGGGTGGAAGTTTGGGTTGCGGGTTGTGGATAATCCGCAAACCGCACCTATTGTGGGTAACTATACCCACAAGTTGTGAGTAGTGGGTTGAGTGTGGGTAGTAAAATAACAATTTTTGTGGTTAGTGATTATCTACTACCCACCGTGGTTAACCCACAAAATCCACAATAACCACACTAATTATTTATTTAGTGAATTAACTTTATAATATAATAGTATGTGAAAAGTGTGAGGATATGAATTAAAGTAGCCACCAAATAAAAAAGACACACCTAATCAATTTTATGTAAGAATTATTTAGTTTATAAAACACTATAATCGATTGAGTTGAGAATAATCAATTCATTAAAAGTGAACACATTTTGTGACTTTTATCAGTATGCTTTTGTTTTTGTGTGAGAAAAATACAAGATCATATTTAAATGTCATATTTCACCCCTAGTCGGGGAAATTTGAAATCACAACTCTCTGACACAAAAGTTGAATACCAAACTCAAAAAGAAAAAATCTTCACGTTGAGTAAGATCGATGTACAAAATTGTATCTCTACGAACAACACAAGTGTATATCACTATAGTCTAGTTACAAACAACAAATACGTTAGTGGCGACTAGAACTCTATGCTTGCAAAGATGGATTTTTGCGAGTAACCACACCCAACCCGCACAAACCCACAGTGGGTAGTGGTTACCCACAAACCACTGCGGTGCGGGATGTGGGTAGCATAATTGTAAATTTGTGGGTGTGGGTACCCGCAAAATGTGGGGCGGGTAACCACACCCACCCCAATTTCCACCCTTACACTAAACATTACATGCAGGAGAATTTACGTCTCATGAACATTTTATGAGATTTTCTCTTTCCCCAATGCAAACAACCCAGCGACCAAAATTAAAATTTGATAATTTGTAGATTGAAAACTTAATAAATAATTTATAGATGTTGAAAACTTAATAAATAATTTATAGATGTTGAAAACTTAATAAATAAATTGTTGCTTTCATTTAAAATAAAAGCATTTATGATACGAATTGAACTTATATAATTAATGCTATAATCAAGTTCATTTTGTGTCTATACTTTTTTGTACAACAATTTATAGTACAAACTGAACTTGAACCTTTCATATTATGTTACAAATTTAGTTGTACCTATATTTTTCATACATATTCATTTATGATACAATCTGAACGTATAACTTTAACATTATGGTATAGTTTGTAGCTATATAGTTTCGTACAAATTACTTTATAATACAAATTGAATTTATACTTTAACATTGTGGTATACATTCAAGTTGTAGCTGCAAACACCAATAATATGAAGTATATGTAAAATATTAATTAAAAGGAAATGTATTTTTTTTAGTTTGGCAAGAATGGACATTGGAATTATATGCACAATTAATAAATTAATAATTAAAAGGAAAGGTTTTTTTTTAGTTTGGCAAGAATCAACATTGGACTTACACGCAGTCTAGGCCCACTTTTTTGCATTTATTTACAGCGAATATAAGTTAGATTAATTTGACAAAAACAGCCCTCCATCCTCTGCGCTGGGAGCAGGAAAAGTGGAACTATTGGGATTCTGGAGGCGAACCTAACCTCCATAATGTAAAGGATAGAGGCTAAGCTAATTAAGCTTCTTGATTAATTTCACCTTGATATCCGTGGCCAATGTTTGCAATTTGCATGCATCCTTACAAATGTTTGCATCGGAATTTGGGGCACCCACCAATTTCCTCTCACCTTCTCCCACTTACTTCCTCGGGAGCTTTAATAGCAAAACCAGACAAAGAAAGGGCGGAGGAGAAGATAATTATCGTAACAATTATTATTGAAAATTATCGAGAATGACAGAAGAATGAGGTATATGTGGAAACGAGCAAAAGGATGATCAGCGTAATCGGCGCCGGACGGGAGGGTGAGAGTTTGAGAATCCTTATTATATATAAGAAAGTTGGCTACACGCGCCACCGTACATTGAGAATCCAGTTAATTCTGTGCATTGTCCTCTTTCATAGCGAGCTTTGGTGCGGTGGTCTGCACATTCGAATTTCGAAGAAGGGTTGAAAATGAATTTTCGCTGGTGAAGTGTGAGCAGAACACCAACATGAATACACTACCTTATAACTCGACCCGTTGGTCGGAATATTCATATTTGATTATTTATATTTTATATTATGTTTAAGTTTATTAACATGTTTAATTTTATTGACGATCCTTCGATCAAAATTATACATAAAGAAAGAATATATAGGTCGAACATTCGGAGAAACATTTACAATCATTTAAGAATATGAAATATGAAAATGTATCATTGATTTCATTTTCATAGTGATAAGTAAGCCTCATTATAATTCTATTGGTTAGTTGATTGTCAAAAAAAGATAGAGTATATAAGCTCACACAACCCATAGAAATCAATCTCACAATCCTACATAAAAGATTTTTTTTAGCAAAAGATAATCGTATATCGATTAAAAAATGCTCTCATTTTAGGAAAAATATTCCACTAATCAAAAAGAAATAGAGAGTTGTTTATTCAAGTGAACTATATACTATCAACTCAGCTAAGAAGGGACTATCAAAACTTGAGAGCAAGCGAAAAATTAGGGTTACCTCCAATATACTAACAAACTCGATTAAAGTAATAAGGCACAAAATTAGACACTCCTTATCTATCAGTTCTAGTAGGTTGAATCGAGTTGCTTTAGTAAATCAATCAATCAATTATTCCTCGTTTTAAGATAGAAATAGGTTGTGATCGCTGCAAAAACCATAGACCTAAAGATCCAATAGCCATCACTCTTTGTCGTACAATTAAATTTTTATCCACTCTATCGTCAATTTCAAGAGGCATATGTTTCAGCCAAAAAATCAATTTCTAATCCTCCTTCTGCAACGACATTTATTGAACGATGTAGGAAATTTCGGATGAAGTTAAAAAGAGATAAGAACAAAGATAAAAAAGCACAAAATTTATATTTAAATTGAAAACTACTTATGGTAGACTTAGTGAGCTTGCTAATCATAATGGAAAAGTCCTCATATTCTGAGAGTTCAACTTCGTGTATGTTTTGTATTCAAAAAGATACAACAAATTTGTTTAGTGTAATTAGTAGTGATTGTTGTCTGTATTTAAAAAAAAAGACTCGGGTTCAAATCCTAATATTAGCATTTTTATTTGAAATAAATAATTAATTGTAAAAACCAAATTTTCCTTCCTCTTTTCACACTCGTTGCAAGAGATTTAAAATGGAGAAAAATAGACAAAACTCTACTATGTATTATTGGAGGAGGATTTCCCCATCGCAATATTCTCTCTAATACACGTCATTTTTTGACTGTCTACAAAGTAACATCGAGATTGCTGAAACTCAAAGCAAGTACTTCTGCTAATATGCTACTGCATAGATCGATTCCTGAGCCCAAAAACAAATTGAAGGTGATGGAATGCAACGGACTCGATCAACAAATATTGAATATTCCAACCATATTTAAAGATTAGTAAACGGCTATTACTAGCATTTTGCTCATTGCTCATCTATGATAACGTTCTCACGAGCTTGTGTGATGGTCGGATTACATGTGGGTGCTATGTGTCAAATACAGATGGGTCGTGTTTATAGGATTGTAAATTATTCGAGTTGAGTTATAATCTAACATGTGATCGGCTTGTTTACTAAAATTGTGGTTTGTGTTGATTTGAGTTTGGCTCATTAATTAGCTTGCGAGATCACGGTTCGATCTCAGATATCATATCATTTAGTTCGTAATTTTTAATTGTTTAAATCATACTATTTAACATTAATTAGTGTCTAAGCAGTCTTTGATCCGTAATTTCTCATTCAAATTTAAATTAGAAAAGAGACCAGTGGTGGAGCCATGAATTTAAATGAGTGGGGGGCTTACTTGAACCCGTGATAATTAAAGAGTGCTTTAAGGCCTTACCAACTACTCAACTTCCTAAATTTATTACGAATTTCACGTATATTTCAAATTTGAGAGGGGCCTCCTGACTTCAACCTTACTCCTCCAATGAACTAAGAGATATTTAATTTGATCCCGTACTCAATGTCTTAAAAATCATATATATGTGATCGGTTATATAACATAACGAACCTATGAATTATCAACAAGCCGTTTGATAAGTTATTAATATATCAAGTCATTAGCTACTAGTGAATGTGACTTTCGAACTAGTTTGTAGGTCAAAATGAACTACCTCACGAGTTGAGCTCAAAACAAGCTACCAAATCGATCGAGCAGACTCACAACATTTGCGAGCTAATTAACATGGCTTAGCTAACTTTACTCGTATACTAGTGCCAAATGAGTTTTTCCTTATCAAACGTCAAGTTGGTTTTAAACTGGTTGACTCATTTAAACCCTAACCATGAACACCATAACCAGATTTACCAAGATATGGTACTCGTCATCATGATGATGATCAGAGCAACAACGGTTCGCATGTGCGTTCAATCGGTTGGCTGTTGGTTAGGCTCCAGAGAGCACTCAAAAGTAAACAAGAAAGCACCCTCTGCTGCCCTTTGTTAAGGATATTTCTTAAATTAATTATTGTGTTTAGTTAATTGTACTTAGTGGCCTTAGTGTGCGTAGTGGCTCCTCAATTGTAGCTAGGTCTGTTGTAAAGAGAGTATTTAACTACACTCTCCTAATCAATACAAACCACATCATTCCAGCATTTACATTGTATCAGAGCTTAAGATTCTTGATCTCTTTAACCTCTTTTTCCTAAAACCTAGACTACAAACACGTCTTTTTTTTCTTCTTCTCTTCTTTGCCTTTCTTCCGTCGACCTAGCTACATCAAAGTTTCGAGACTCTTCTACCCTTTTCACGAGACTCTTTCTTCCATTCTTATCTACTGCCACTATGTCGGGCGAGTCGGTCATCAATCTTGATGATTCCAACACCATTATCACACTGAATCCAGCTTCCCACGAAGCTCACCGGCGACAATTTTCCGAATTGGCGTGCTCAATTTCTTACTCTCCTTCGTGGCCTTGATCTTCTCAAATTTCTCGATGACACGCATCCTGCCCCGGCTGAAACTGAGGCTCCTAGTGTTCGCAATCGTTGGTACAGGCAAGATCAATTGCTTCTTCACTCTATTCTCGCATCGGTTTCCCCGGGTGTCTCTCCTTATGTCTCTGCATCTAAGTCCTCCCGTGAAGCCTGGAAAACTTTGGAACCTTTGCTCGCTGGTCAGTCTCGTCAAAGGGTTGTCAATCTAAAAGGAAAAGTTTATCACGGAGGTCCAAGGAGCACATCCAGTCTCTGTTTATTTACAGTCTATGCGCACCACTGCTGCCGAGTTGGCGCTGATCAATGCTTTGGTTACTGACGAAGATTTAATTCTTCATATTCTTCGGCTGGCATTGACGGCAGCAAGGGTGTCCTCTTCGGCCTGGTATAACCGGCTCGGCCACCCCCATCTCAAGCTTCTTTCACGTGTCTTAAGTAATCAGTCTCTACCGGTTATTTCCTTCGCTTCTCATTCTCAAGTGAATCCTGTTCGCTACATAAAAGTCACAAACTCCCTTTTTCAATCTCTAGTTTATCCAGTACTTGACCTTTTGATTTGTTATATATGGATGTTTGGGGGTCTTCGCCCGTTCTTTCTCGTGATAATTTCTCGTACTATTTAGTGATTGTTGATCATTTTACAAGTGCATCATGTTTTCATCACTTACAAAGCTATGATTGAGAATTTCTTTCACACCACTATTCGCCGTATTTATAGTGATGGTGGTGGTGAGTTTCAAAAGCTACGTTTGTATCTTCAAACTCATGGCATCACCCATCTTTTAACCTCTCCACATACTCCCCAACACAATGGCCTTGCCGAACGCAAACACAGGCATATAGTTGAAACTGGACTCACTCTTCTCCATACTGCAAATCTCCCACTTTGTTTCTGGTCCCATGCTTTCAAAACAGCCACATACCTCATCAACCGCCTCTCTTCTTCTTCTCTTCGTGGACAAACTCCATTCTTTTCTTTGTTTAATGAGAAACCCAACTACCACAAACTACGTGTCTTTGGCTGTGTTTGTTACCCCTGGCTTCGCCCCTATTCCTCTCACAAATTATCTCCTCGCTCCCGTCATTGCTTGTCTTGGCTACTCACCTTCCCAAAGCGCATATCTTTGCTACGAACCTATTGCAACCCGTCTTTTTGTCTCTCGCCACGTTCAGTTCAGCGAATCCCTTCTTCCAGGCCTTCCATCTGCCTCCTCTTCTCACTTTGATTCGCCTGCTAGGGTCATCTAAACTACTCCTCCCATTCAATTTATTCCACTGCCGCCTCCTTCATCACCCGTCTCGCCACCAGCTCCTGCATCTCTTCCTCACCAAGTAATCAGGTTCCACCGCCACCAGCCAAGGCCCCCGGCGACCGACCACCCGCAGTCAGCATGGCATATTTTTCCCCAATAAATTATGTATCTCGCAGGTATCCATGGAGGTTGTGCCCACTTCTGTCGCCGAAGCCCTCGGCAACCCCTGCTGGGTCGCTGCTATGCGGGCTGAGATTCGAGCTCTTATTGCTAATCGCACATGGTCTTTAGTGTCGCTTCCTGTCTCTACAAACATTGTTGACTATCGGTGGGTCTTCCGCATCAAGCGTCAGCCGGATGGGTCTATTGATCGCTTCAAAGCCCGCCTTATTTCCCAAGGCTATACTCAATGTCCCGACATTGATTCTCATGAAACCTACAACCCGGTGTTGAAGCCAGTAACCATTCGCACAGTATTCTCTATTGCTCTATCTCAATGGTGGCCTATCTTGCAGTTCGACGTAAACAATGTTTCTGACAGGGATCTCTAGCCGAAACAGTATTTATGGCCCAACCGCCTAGCCTCCATGACACTCAATTTCCAGATCATGTCTTTTGCTTATCTCGAGCCCTCTACGGTCTTCGTCAGGCTCCCCGCTCATGGTATACGGAGTTATCCACTTTCCTCGAGACCGAATGGTTTGTCAAGTCGTTAAAGTGATGCATCCTTGTTCATTTATCATCGCGGGCAGGTCACTCTTTACTTCCTAGTTTATGTTGATGGTTTGTTGCTCACCGACAATCATACTGCTGCTCTCGCCGACTTTCAACGTAGCCTTGCTGCCTGATTTTCACTAAAGAGTCTCGGCAACGTCGGATACTTCTTGGGCATTGAGGTACTCCCCTCTTCCTCTAGGTTTTTGCTTTATCAACAATCTTATACAGGATATTCTCCACTGCTTTGGGATGGTCGACTGCCACCCAGCTCTCACTCCATTGTCTTCCGCCGCCAAGCTTCTTCTTTGTGATGACTCTCCTCCAGCTGATACTACCTTGTATAAGCAAGTGTTGGGCTCTCTATAATATCTATTATGTACACGACTCGATATCGCCTTCGCCGTCAACTAATTGTCCCAATTCATGCACGCTCCTACTCAGCTACACTGGAAACATGTCAAAAGGATTCTTCGCTACCTCAAAGGCACGCCAACACTTGGTCTTCGCCTCTCTCTCGCCGTGACATCTTCTCTTGTTGCTTTCTCCGATTCCGACTGGGCTGGCGATCTCAATGACCATACTTCAACCATGGCGTATCTTGTTTACTATGGCGGAAATCTCATTTCATGGAAGTCCGAAAAACAACGCTCTATTGCTCGATTGAGTATGGAGGCTGAGTATCGCGGTCTTGCCCAAGCCATGACCGAAATACTTTGGGTTCAAAATCTGCTTTTGGGACTACATGATAGAAACCCGCTTATTTGAATTTCTAACGATTTACGTAACCGGTAATTTAGAAAGGGGATTTAGGGATTGAGAATAGAAATTAGGGATTAGGAGAAGAATTGGGGATTTGGGGAAGAACGGCCGAGGCCTTTGAGGAAGAAAGACAAACGAGGTTGAGAGAGAACATAATAGGGTTTTGGGAGATAATTGTTTTACTGATTTCTGCTTAATTGAACAAAAGACCCATAATACATATTTATAGCTAAATACTGGAAAATCCTAATAGACTATCCTAATGTGACTCAATGACTACTACCATATCTAATAATATCCTAATTATAGTAATAATAATTATTATGCTAAATCCCAAGAATTGGGTTTCCATCATCCCCTCCCCCTTGAGACCAACCTTGCCCTCAAGGTTGACCGACTCGAAACATTTCTTCACATCGCCCGCTCAACCCGCGCATTTGATCCTCCATCTCTTGTGCTTTCTTTTCTTCCAATTGCTCCACTACTCGACTTGTACTTCTTGCATTGGTCCAACTTTTCGAACCTCACTTCTATGGGCCCACTATTTGCTTCCTTCTTGTGCAAGAATCTGCCCTTGAGCATCAAACCATCAAAAACTTCAAACTCCCTGTCGGTGGCCCATGCGTGTTCATGCTCGTCAAGCGGCCAAAATTCTTGACTAGTATCGACCTTCCTTGGCTTTAGTCCATCAACTTGTTTACTCGTCTCTTCAATGACTATTGATTCATGATTCCTTGAGGCCTCACTCTCTAAACTCATAAATTCATCTTCATTTTCTTTCAAGCCCACTCCATACAAAAGGGATTCAAGTAAATAGCTCAATTGAAGCGCAAACCTTTTATTATGAAGCTGCCCAATATTTCCTTGAGACTGGTTGGACCCATCCTTCCTCGGCCCGCATAGAAGTCCAAAATCAGTCCACCTGACTCCATGCTTCGGCCCGCTAAGCTGCTCTTCTCGGCCCGTAGAGAGCCAACCATCCCTCTCTTCCTTCCTACTCCATGACCATAAGTTTTATCTTCTTTTTCCCACAAACAACCCACTTCCGTTGGCCCAACAAGGCCTTCAGCTCCATTCGAGCCCGTGGCCCAAACGACCCAACTCACTGGTACAGTTTCCTACGTCTGGTGTGTGGCCAACCAAGATATTGTGAAGGAAATGAACCCGGTCAACCTTGACTGTCCATTTCAGCCCAATTCGGCCTGATCCCTTTGGACGGCTTGCTGTCTCGCGCGACCCACTAGATCATGCTGGTGTGTGATGCTCCCTAGGGTTGACGACCCACAGATGGCTAAAAGAGAGCCAGCGCCGCCCTCCTCCATTTCCTCCTTCGACTTTGCCGCCGGCGAGCGGCTCCTCCTGCGGCCAGCCCACCTCGCTTCCAGCGGCACCTCCTCATCAGTGGACGCCACAGAAGCTGCCGTCTTCTTATCCTTCCTCGACGCTCTCGGCGCCGGCTTCTTCTCCACCCCGACGGACGACAAGCAAAGGGTTCGGCCGCCGCCAATCTTCTTCTCCTTCCTCGACGGCGAGGCGCCCCTACATTTGAAGGGACGTCCGTCCACTTTCGACCTCGACTTCTTCGCCTCACTCACCGGCAGCGGACAACCCACCAAGCGACGAGGCTGGCGGCTCGATTTCGGTCCCGGCTTTGCCTTCCAATTCTCGTCGGTCAGCGTCTCCATCGGCCTTGTCTTTCCCTTTTTCATTTTCGGCGTCAATTTCAGCTTCGTCGATTTCAGCTTCTTTTCCACGGTCGGCGTCTTCATACCCAACAGATCCCTCACCGGCGATTCCTTTTTCGTCGTCTTTCCTAGCGGCGGTGGTGCAGCGGCTCCCAGTTCTCCCCCACCGAATCTCGATTTCTTCTTCCTGGATTTCCAGCCACCCATTGGAGTTTCCAATAGGATTGGGTTCGTTCTAGGATTAACCTTCTCCCCTTCCAGATCCGATGCAGGCTCCTCGGCACTCGATGTGGCAGCCGAAGCCGCAAGGGATTGCTCCCCTACCATCGCCTCGAAGGAAGACGTCGGGGTTTGTTGAGTCTCCCCCGCTGATTTCTCCTTCGGTAGTACATCACTCTCCACCGGCTCGAGTGGCATCGAGAACTTTCCCTGGTGGTTGACACAACATTAATTGGCGGAGGTTTGGTCTTGGCTTCATAACTCGACAGGTTGGTGGTGGCGGTTGAAAGGAGTGAATCATGAAGCCCTGCGGCGGTCGTCGGAAGCGGCTGCTGGTCGCTGAATTCTTTCACGGTCGGATCATCTTCTTCGGCTACAACTAGGGGAGTTATCCTTGGAACCCGAACGTTGAGATTGCATATTCCGAAGCCAGCACTATAGTGTGCAACATCGTAGAATTCCTCAAGTTCGATGTGCCTCTTGAAACGGATCCATCTATGGTCGTAACCCAATGGACTCTCGGCCGTAATAATCAGCTCATTCAATGACGTTCTCTGTACCTCTATGTGCTCTCTCTCGAACCCAGGCAAGAAGAAGGAGAAGCAAACGTGCCGACGATACTCCGTCCTAGTGATGCTTGGTTCGAGGTCTTCAAACACACGTTCGTCCCTGGTTGAGAGTTGTGACGAACTCAGATTCGTGACCATGGCTCTGATACCAGATGATAGAAACCCGCTTATTTGGATTTCTAACGATTTACGTAACCGGTAATTTAGAAAGGGGATTTAGGAATTGAGAATAGAAATTAGGGATTAGGAGAAGAATTGGGGATTTGGGGAAGAACGGCCAAGGCCTTTGAGGAAGAAAGACAGACAAGGTTGAGAGAGAACAAAATAGGGTTTTGGGAGATAATTGTTTTACTGATTTCTGCTTAATTGAACAAAAGACCCATAATACATATTTATAACTAAATACTGGAAAAACCTAATAGACTATCCTAATGTGACTCAATGACTACTACCATATCTAATAATATCCTAATTATAGTAATAATTATTATTATGATAAATCCCAAGAATTGGGTTTCCATCACTACAACAACATGTTTCGTGTCCAATCCTTTATTGTGATAATCTCGAAGCTGTCAATTTCTCCGACAATCCCATTCATCACTCCCGGATGAAGCATTTGGCGCTCGACGGCCTCTTTGTCCGCGAGCTCGTTCAGTCCGGTGCTCTTCATGTTCAACATATTCCAACAACACACCAACTTGCAGATCCGTTGACTAAGCCACTCCCCATCACTCGCTTCCGGCTGCTTCGGTCCAAGATTGGTGGCGTACCCTCCTCCATCTTGCGGGGACGTGTTAAGGATATTTCTTAAATTAATTATTGTGTTTAGTTAATTGTACTCAGTGGCCTTAGTGTACGTAATGGCTCCTCAATTGTAGCTAGGTATGTTGTAAAGAGAGTATTTGACTACACTCTCCTAATCAATACAAACCACATCTCTCGCAAGAAAAAAGAAAAAAAAAAATACAAACCACATCATTCCAACATTTACACCCTTATTGGTATTCCCCGTTTATTTCCCTCTTTCGCCACAAAGTAAAGCTTTGAAACAGTAAGTAGAAAGCAAACTTTTCAACCACCACATCAGAAACTCCATAACAGGAAGTGGAGGTAGGAACTAGGAAGAGATAAAAAAGGAACCAGTGGTGAAGAGGGTGCTATATATTCAATTCAATATGCATCAGTATCACATAATAATGATCAGATTGGTGCCAAATCCTTCATTATCAATCCACCGTACTATGTATATGGACTTATGCGTTTGTTTTATCGTTCGTTCATCACCATTTTTTGAGCTCCTGCCTTTTATTATCATTAGTACGGTTTTAGTTTACGCAGTGCTTTTGTCCCGAGGTAATGTGTTTCTCGATCCACATCTCTTTCCATGTTTCTCTGCAGTGCTCCTTCCTACTGTATAGTGTATTGTGTCTAAGTCTGAAGTTAGAAATGTGCCGAGGAATGCTCTTTCGGATTGTCAATCGTCAAAACTCCTTGTTACATTGGAGTGCCGACCAGAAAAGAAAACTAAAATTAACACTTGCAAGAACAACAAGTATTTTGCTCTGGAGTATGTTTTTGCTGTTAATTCGAGGTAAATTGTAGTTATTAACTTATTATCAATATAAATAATTTAATGAACCAGCCTAATGGTAAAGCTGTCGCAACAATGAAAGTTTGAGAGTTGCAGATCTTAGGTTCGAATCCAAGCGAGGCCCGTTCGTGTTTCCGGAGGTACAAGGTTGCTAGAGGCGAAGCCCCGTTAGCGTCAAATTTGATTGCAGGTATCCCCCAGATTTAGTAGGATCCGCAGTTACAAAGTGACACGTAGGGCTAAGGTTCCTGGATAATAAAAAATAATAATAATTTAATGAATTTGCATAAGTATATGTTATACGAGCGAATCGAACCCTCAACCTCCATAATGAATAAATGTGTGGTTGCTCTTTTTTTTTCTCATAAACATTTTCTTTCTTTTAATATGTGTTGTCAAAATACTAATTTTCCCCACTAGGGATTTAATTGTTGTATGTTTTTTTTTTAACTGAGTAACTATTGTTTGTTTGAATAAGCTTTAAAAATAGAAATCTCCAGGATGTGTCAATGTCAATCCACCTCACGAGCTTTCTTCCCACGATCCTTTTCGACACACATAAAATTTCCAATTAAATATGTTGGCATTTTTTGTCTTCAAGATTAGGATAAGCATTTATCCGCGCAAATGTTTGTGAAAACGATAGGTATATTTGATAAATGTTTCGTTGTAATGAGGTATACATGTGTATTTGATAATTATAGTTAAAAATATAAAAATACCATCCTTTTTTCTATTTGATTAGGGCTTTTGACCGTTCTCCATTCATACCGCCAACAAGAAAGCAGACACAGATGCCTCGGCTCCTGCTAGCTAGCTTTGGCCCTTTCAACATTTTTATTATTATTTGTTGATTTAATGTAACGTAAAATTTTATAATAATGGAATTAAAAAAATATTTGTGGAATAGCAATGAAAGAAACAGAGATTACGATTCATTTGGTCTTATTGTTCTGTACTCGTGCAGATAGACAGAGCATCCAACCGGCTGAAAATACATTGTGATTGTCTTAACTTTTAAGAGAGACCACAATCAGATAATTAGTAAAACTCCTTAATTCGGATGGCAATCGAGAGAGTGAGAGAGAAAACAAACAAGAAGCTCTAATTTGTGGGTTAATGAAATTTCGTTTAGTTTTGATTGAATTGTGTACAACTGTTAACTGTACATGTTACGAAAAAGTTGAATCGTAATAAGAAGAGATTTTTCAAAAATTCAGATAATTATTTTCAACCTACAAAATAAGAATTATCAATTACAGTAGAAATTTATTTTATCCCATTTGATCCGTTGTCAAAATATGGATTATGTATGTCATTAATTTCCCCCATCACCGGACGTCGATACTAAAGTTTTTAGACTTTAGACACAAGAGTACAATTGATTATTACAAAAATTTGGATAGCGATGAAGTGCATATTCTAATTTTTTTTGCATGGAAGGAGGCGCACAGACCAAGAAAAGACGAAAACAAAAGGGCTGGGTTACAGGGAGGGGGTTGTAGGGCAGGGGACAATGTTCCTAGGAAACATAACACCTTGGTCGTCTTCTCTGAGCAGAGGCACCAAGGCTTGGGGTGGGTTCGGCATCTCACGTACGCCGTAGGGATAGACGAGACTGTGCTTTGAGAGCCAGTCCGCGACTCTATTCCCTTCCCGGTATACATGAGATAGCCGAACTACCCAATCCTGAGCCATCTTGCGCCGGATGGCTGTCAACAAAGTAGCATACGGATGGAGAGGGTCGGTCCTGTTGTTCACAAGTTCAATGGCCAGCTTCGAGTCTGATTCCACCATAAGAGTCCTGCATCCCTGTTTCCACGCGATATCCAAACTATGGTATATTCCCCATAGCTCAGCCATTGCTGCCGAGCAGCATCCCAGATTAGCACAGAACCCTGCAGCCCATTGACCGTCACTGCCCCTCAGGACTCCGCCGGCTCCTGCCACTCCTGGATTCCCATTCGAGGCCCCGTCAACATTAAGTTTCCACCATCCCGGAGGAGGGAGCTTCCACCCAATCTCAGCTTGAATCCTTTGAGCTGGAGGAGAACGTCTATCCACGCCGATTGTTGGGGCTTTCCAAGCATCATACCACAGCCTTGCTTTCACTTTGAAAAATGTGCGAACTGGTTTCGATCCTTCCTGCACATCTGTAGCAATCGGATTCAGTAGTAAGGTGTCTTTGGCAGCGAGTCTCATTGGAGCTAATTTTCCCAAGAACAAGCAGCCACATGAAGCATCGGATGCGCTCCGGAACAGGAAGGTTCCATAGCGTTTTCCACAGTTTCTGATCACCTCCTTGCGGGCTTGGCATTATCAGCTGGTAGGCACTCTTTGTGGAAAAGCGCCCATTAGAGGTGGGGCGCCAAAGGAGCGAGTCATCACTCGTTGATAGGGGATCCACCGCTACAGCCGTGATCTGCTGCTGGATATCTGTGGGGAGAAAATTGCTGAAATTTTGGGTAAGCCATCTCCCCTCCTCGTCGACATAGTCGGCCACCTTGAGCTCGAGGTCTCCTTCCGGAACAGGTTGTACTGCCAGATCAGCCAGAGGAACCTGCGAGAGCCAAACGTCAATCCAAAAACGAACCCGAGTACCTTTATGAATATTCCAAGCTGCCCCTTGTTTAACAAGATCGGCAGTTTTGGAGAAACTAGTCCAAGCCAGTGAACTTCCCTGTCGCCGCTGCAGGATCTCAAGATGCTCTTTATTCTTGCCGTACTTGTCGCGCATTACTTGGCACCACAGACTGTCGCGGTCGTTGATTATTCGCCATCCCCCCTTTGCGAGCATGGACAGGTTGACAGGTCTAGCGGGGCGGATGCCCAGGCCCCCTGAGAGTCTTGGTTGAGTGAGCTTGGGCCACGCGACTAAATGCATCTTCTTCTTCTCGTCGGAGTCACCCCAGATGAAATCCCGGTTGATCTTGTCCAAACTCCTGCACACATTAACAGGAAGAAGTTTTGTATGCATCGGGTAGATAGGGATTGAGGACGATACCGACTTAACCACCGTAATCCGAGCCGCCAGA